ACGAAATGTATTTTTGATTTCGTCGTGCGAAATTATCGATATGAAAACTTAATTAAACATTTTAAATAAAAAAAAAAAAAAAAGCTTCAAAATTCAAACTGCAAATAACAACATTTTAATATTATAGGGAACCGTAATCTAAAATGGATAGGAATGAACAATTATTGCAAGAACTTAACATTAGTCTAGCAATCCAGACACACACGAACTCAGAACAAGGAGAATGGTATAACTTTACAGAATGCTTTGACTATCATATAATTTCTGCTAATAATGCAATACTTGTACCATACGAAAGCAGAGAGGTTTTGGAAATAATAAAATGTGTAAAAAGGTTTGTAACTGAGATGGTATTGGAAAGGGATCTATAACCAATTATAATTAATTAGAAATAACCAATTTAAAACTTAGCGGTGTACCGTCTAGTACTTTAGAAATTGCTGGAGCGCGTTACAAACCTCAAGCCGCTATATTACATATTGGACAAAACACGAGCTCTGGCCATTATATCGCATATCTGAAACAAGCACATTCTAATTGGGTTTCCACCAATGACACAACAATTGCTGAAAAAAGGTGGCCGAATAACAGCAAATATGTATATGTGATCATTCTACAAAAAATATAACAATATTTTTAAAGTAAGAACAATCTACAAAAACTATACACCAACCAAAAATAATATGTACATAAATTACATAAAATATTTACTATCTGATTAACATTGAAAAAGGGACGTGTAAACCGCCAACTAATTAACTACATAATTTTATTATTATTATTATTATGTATGAGTTGCCAGTCTCAAGCCTGGATAAAACCAGTATAGTAAAAACGCTTACCTTATATTAATTGTTTTCTCTTTTTTTATATAAATAAGTAGAGATCCAGATTTTATTATTATTCCTACAAAAGTATTTATTATTAGAAATTAACCATTGATCACATTTGTCTTTATTTTTTGTCAATCCTTCATAATATTATACCAATGATTTAAAAATTTTAATACAATTTGTTACATTACCGAATGTGTAACATTATATGTTATAATATTCAAATACAATAAATAATTGTCTAACACTTTGATAATACACTGTTGGCAATGATTCACCTCCAAAATAGCGAAAATAAAAAATCGAACACAAAATATTGAATATAATACAGCGAATATCATTTAATTGAAAAAATAATGGAAAATATAAAAAAAATTAAAATTATGACAACAATTATTATTTTTGTTGTATCTAAAAAAATATTAATAAGCTAATACGTCAAATTATAGGCAATTCCTTTTAAAAAAATTAATTTATCATTTTCGTCGTACCCATATACTAATTTTTGAATCCGTTCAGCCGAATCTTTGTACTTCTTTTTTTTCCTTATTTTATTTATTCCAGATTGATACTGCTCATATTTAATTTCCTCCAAATTCTGTTGTCTTTGAAGGAATTCAATAAATTTCCAGATGAATGGATGATGTGATGCTAAAGATTAAAATATATTAAGTCAATTAATTAAATTTATCAACAAATAAAATATGGTACCTAACAATGAGCTGAAACCTCTATGCCAACCCTCAATAGAATTATTGGTTTTGGCCCCCTGGCGTTTGGAAATTTCATAGCAGTTCCATAACATTATAACAAAACACGGTGATTTCCGAACATTTTTTCTTCCTCGACGTCCAATCCCACGTGTCTTCAAAATAGTTAGTTAGTGGATTAAGAAATTCTTCATTTTCGCAAAAAAAAATGAGGAATCCAACAATTCTTCAAACGCGAGTGTAACATTGTTGGGTGGCACAAAGGCAAGAGCCGATATCATTCTTATATGTAAAGCAAAATTAGGATCTAATTTATACTTTGTTGATAAACCTTGAATTTGTTGAATGTGCCTCCATATAGATTGTGCGAAATGAAAATGGCAACCATTTTGTTTTATATTTGGAAATAAATATTTGAATGCGTTGAAAGCACTACGTTCGAAGTCTGTCATGATTGATTTTGGATTTAAATTAGGTTTAATTTCTTTTAAAGTTGTTAACAGATGAATATACGTTTCTTCAGTTTTGTTTGGCAGTAAAGCATAAATAGTGGGTATAATGATATTTTCCTTAATTAATACATGTATTGTATAAACTTGCGAAAATATTAAAGGCGATGTTTTAAACGTGCCATCAGCAAACCAATCACTATAATTGTCCATTATGTCTAAATTATCATGTGTAGAAAATATAATTATTCGATTATTTGAAGGGCCACTATCGTGCAACAGAAATTGTGCTCCATTTTTGGTTTTTCTAAATTGTTCAGGAATATCAAGATCAAAAAGCGATTTTGGATCCGAGTTAACTTGCATCAGCCACGTGTACGTATACTACGTATTCCATATTAATACAATATTATTTGCTCTTAGCGAATAATTATACACTTAAAAGTAACACGAACTACACTAACCATCACTCGAATACTCGATTAATACTAACGATAACCGAAGAACTCCGGCGGACGACTAAAATGACAAACTCAACATAGGTACGACGACAGTGACTTTTCGAATCCTAAAATATTTCACTGTAGTTTCACATAGTTATAATGTATATAAGTAAAGTAATATACTTAATATATTTAATCAATGTTAGTACACAGTATTATATATATGTTTTCGCTCATATTTTTATTCGCTCATTTTATATTCGCTCTTTTTCATTCGCTCTTTTTCTTTCGCTCAATTGCCGGGATACCGTTGGCAATTTATCTTAATACATTTCCAATTAGTATACAACTAATAAATATATTAAATTTAAATCTATTTATTCATAAATCATAATACTCTGTAAACATTATGCATATAATGATACATCTTATAATGATACTGAAAAAACTAAATAATACATTTTATATACACACATTTTGATAAAGATAATGTTGTTTATAACATGATTTTCTTTTTAATTTAACTTTCATCATCTTAACTGCAGCTAAATTTTCGGCACGTCTGGGCAAAATAGATGTAGTCTTAGTGAGATATATCGGAACATTGATAACGTTGCCTTTGATTTTTAGTTGTCCATCACTTCGGAGACATTTGAATATTTTCATAAACGGTAATCTAAGTGAGACCATCTGCTTTTCAATTTGATTTAGTTGAGTAACTGAAGGTGGAACACTGTTCAACTCAAAACCATTTCCTACGTACAATGGAGGAATTTTTGATTTCTTCATAATATGCGGATGACAACTTGTACATATCTGTACACTACTCTTGGCATCACTTGGAATTGACATCCCTAATCGCCTGAGGAGCGACCTAACATTTAAAGCATTATCATTATAATTAAGGTAATATTTTTAATTGTTCTACACTCGAGATAAAAATGTTACTAAATTAATTAAATTTAACATAAATAAGCTGGAACTCAATCGGAAATAAAATCCAAAATCCCCAAAGCAAATACTTATATATAATTGTAATTTGTAAATCATAAAATATATACCTACAAAACTCGCTTTAAAATTAAAATATAATATAAAACCCTATATTGCCTAGATAATAATCTCAACTTTAAATTTTATAAGAAGTCAATTCACTCCAGTGGCGTGTATAGAAATAATTTTTGGGTTGGGCTATAATGCTTTATAATATGATTGACTATTAAATAATACTTTAATTTTACAGTAAAATCTAAACAAATTTGTTATTTGTATAGTTGTCGATATTACCTCCCACTAAATATAAATAATTGCTGTGTTTTACTTTTTTTCGTCTAGATAATGTTAGTAGTTATGACTTTTATTATAAAATTGATAATTGTAGTACCTATATTACATATTAATAATTTAGTTAAAAAATAATTTAAGATGTTAGGATTCATAAACAGGAATACGAATAATTTTAAAAATATTAACTCATTTATAATATAATATAATTTAATTTCAGTTTAATATTTGTCAAATTGAGATTCAACTTGCTGTACTTTTAATTTTCATTACCTATCCGTTTATAAAAAAAACAAATAAATAAATATTTATATACAGCAATATCATATAAGGTAAAATATATATCTTATGTAATATGTACCTATTTATCAATAGGTATTATAATAATATAATAATTATCATTCAAATTTTATATATTTTTTTTATTATTAATTATTATTTTTGACAGCTGTTAGGTATAGCTTTTCGGATTTTTTTTCCTAGAGTCATTGGATATACGTATACATTAACATTATGTAGGTATAGAAATTGTGGGCAATAAACGAAAATGAAAATGAAATATTAGGTAGCCAGATAATGAAGCGAATTTTCGCAGAGAACTATATTATAGTATTATGTCTCATACAAAACCCAGTATTTTGTTATCTTGTACTATTTTGTTGCGCGTGTCAGCAATTAGGTACTTATGATAACCAAATGTCAGAAAGAGTACTTAATTAATACACACAGTAAACATATAAAACTTAGTAAGTACCTATCACAGAAAGAAATATCGCAGTTAAATTAATAAAAATCGAGGTTAAATCAACAAACTAATGATTAACATAGGGCCAACATAGGGAGTTTGTTATTATGAAAATCAATAATTTGTTGATATAACAAAATTTTGTCCTGTTCATTTAATGTTTAATTCAACAAATTATTTTGTTGTTTTGAAATAATACGTCGTTAGCATTATTGTGTTTATTTATAAAATGATTTGTTAAATTAATCAATAATTTTATAAGAACAATTTATGGGTTTTTTTAAATCAACAACATATTTTTTATTAAATCATCAATAATTTAACCATTGATTTAAAAATTGTGGTTTGTTAATTTTAAAATCATACCTGCGTTCAGTAGCTTTTAGGGGAGGGGGTGTCATCAATATATATCGCTATAGCCTATAATATATAAGAACATTTGAAGACAATCATATACATGTATGAAAAAATAAGATATTTTTTAGAGTACAATTAATTTTATTTCACAAATTAAACAATTTTGCAGTTTCAAAATTTCAAAGTTTAATTTCATTAAAAATTTGATTGACCAGTGGACAAGATTTATCATATTTATTTACAATGTTATAAAAGAATTTTTGAACAAATAGCCAGACATTAACAGATTCAATTGGATATTCAATGTTGAAGACATGAAAAATTTTGAAACAAATGTCTAGTGCTTTAATAGGAGAAAAAACTTTGTATTTTATTCCATCAAAATAAACCAATATTTCAAGTGGAACACAAACTGTTCCTACAATTATAATACATGGTTGTATGGTATCGCCAACATTATATTTTCTCTTTAACATTTCTTCAATCTCTACTGCAGTTGGTGCTATCATCATAAAACTGTTCTGTGAATCTTGGATCGAATATTTGACTATGGTTTTTTTCCCTTGTGAGTCAGTGGATGACTTTTTATTGGTTGGTATTAAAATTGCATGAAGGAGATACATAATTATACAACTTTTAGAACCTGAAAAAAAGTTATGTTATGAAAATTAATTCTTTGTAAGAAAATCTGTATGACAGGTTGACATTGATTTTCAGTGTCTTCACAAGGAAGCATCAAATATGTTAAAAGTATTTGATGACACTAAACTAAAACTAATTCAAGTAATTGATGAAAGACTAAAAGATAATACAAATAGGAAATTATACAATTTTAGGATTGAAAACAGTCTAATTACTGAAAAGTAAGTTCATATCATCCATTGTTCATTCATTATTTACCAATATTTTATAAAACTAATACAGATTTTCTTACAAAGAATTAATTTTCATAACATAACTTTTTTTCAGGTTCTAAAAGTTGTATAATTATGTATCTCCTTCATGCAATTTTAATACCAACCAATAAAAAGTCATCCACTGACTCACAAGGGAAAAAAACCATAGTCAAATATTCGATCCAAGATTCACAGAACAGTTTTATGATGATAGCACCAACTGCAGTAGAGATTGAAGAAATGTTAAAGAGAAAATATAATGTTGGCGATACCATACAACCATGTATTATAATTGTAGGAACAGTTTGTGTTCCACTTGAAATATTGGTTTATTTTGATGGAATAAAATACAAAGTTTTTTCTCCTATTAAAGCACTAGACATTTGTTTCAAAATTTTTCATGTCTTCAACATTGAATATCCAATTGAATCTGTTAATGTCTGGCTATTTGTTCAAAAATTCTTTTATAACATTGTAAATAAATATGATAAATCTTGTCCACTGGTCAATCAAATTTTTAATGAAATTAAACTTTGAAATTTTGAAACTGCAAAATTGTTTAATTTGTGAAATAAAATTAATTGTACTCTAAAAAATATCTTATTTTTTCATACATGTATATGATTGTCTTCAAATGTTCTTATATATTATAGGCTATAGCGATATATATTGATGACACCCCCTCCCCTAAAAGCTACTGAACGCAGGTATGATTTTAAAATTAACAAACCACAATTTTTAAATCAATGGTTAAATTATTGATGATTTAATAAAAAATATGTTGTTGATTTAAAAAAACCCATAAATTGTTCTTATAAAATTATTGATTAATTTAACAAATCATTTTATAAATAAACACAATAATGCTAACGACGTATTATTTCAAAACAACAAAATAATTTGTTGAATTAAACATTAAATGAACAGGACAAAATTTTGTTATATCAACAAATTATTGATTTTCATAATAACAAACTCCCTATGTTGGCCCTATGTTAATCATTAGTTTGTTGATTTAACCTCGATTTTTATTAATTTAACTGCGATATTTCTTTCTGTGATAGGTACTTACTAAGTTTTATATGTTTACTGTGTGTATTAATTAAGTACTCTTTCTGACATTTGGTTATCATAAGTACCTAATTGCTGACACGCGCAACAAAATAGTACAAGATAACAAAATACTGGGTTTTGTATGAGACATAATACTATAATATAGTTCTCTGCGAAAATTCGCTTCATTATCTGGCTACCTAATATTTCATTTTCATTTTCGTTTATTGCCCACAATTTCTATACCTACATAATGTTAATGTATACGTATATCCAATGACTCTAGGAAAAAAAATCCGAAAAGCTATACCTAACAGCTGTCAAAAATAATAATTAATAATAAAAAAAATATATAAAATTTGAATGATAATTATTATATTATTATAATACCTATTGATAAATAGGTACATATTACATAAGATATATATTTTACCTTATATGATATTGCTGTATATAAATATTTATTTATTTGTTTTTTTTATAAACGGATAGGTAATGAAAATTAAAAGTACAGCAAGTTGAATCTCAATTTGACAAATATTAAACTGAAATTAAATTATATTATATTATAAATGAGTTAATATTTTTAAAATTATTCGTATTCCTGTTTATGAATCCTAACATCTTAAATTATTTTTTAACTAAATTATTAATATGTAATATAGGTACTACAATTATCAATTTTATAATAAAAGTCATAACTACTAACATTATCTAGACGAAAAAAAGTAAAACACAGCAATTATTTATATTTAGTGGGAGGTAATATCGACAACTATACAAATAACAAATTTGTTTAGATTTTACTGTAAAATTAAAGTATTATTTAATAGTCAATCATATTATAAAGCATTATAGCCCAACCCAAAAATTATTTCTATACACGCCACTGGAGTGAATTGACTTCTTATAAAATTTAAAGTTGAGATTATTATCTAGGCAATATAGGGTTTTATATTATATTTTAATTTTAAAGCGAGTTTTGTAGGTATATATTTTATGATTTACAAATTACAATTATATATAAGTATTTGCTTTGGGGATTTTGGATTTTATTTCCGATTGAGTTCCAGCTTATTTATGTTAAATTTAATTAATTTAGTAACATTTTTATCTCGAGTGTAGAACAATTAAAAATATTACCTTAATTATAATGATAATGCTTTAAATGTTAGGTCGCTCCTCAGGCGATTAGGGATGTCAATTCCAAGTGATGCCAAGAGTAGTGTACAGATATGTACAAGTTGTCATCCGCATATTATGAAGAAATCAAAAATTCCTCCATTGTACGTAGGAAATGGTTTTGAGTTGAACAGTGTTCCACCTTCAGTTACTCAACTAAATCAAATTGAAAAGCAGATGGTCTCACTTAGATTACCGTTTATGAAAATATTCAAATGTCTCCGAAGTGATGGACAACTAAAAATCAAAGGCAACGTTATCAATGTTCCGATATATCTCACTAAGACTACATCTATTTTGCCCAGACGTGCCGAAAATTTAGCTGCAGTTAAGATGATGAAAGTTAAATTAAAAAGAAAATCATGTTATAAACAACATTATCTTTATCAAAATGTGTGTATATAAAATGTATTATTTAGTTTTTTCAGTATCATTATAAGATGTATCATTATATGCATAATGTTTACAGAGTATTATGATTTATGAATAAATAGATTTAAATTTAATATATTTATTAGTTGTATACTAATTGGAAATGTATTAAGATAAATTGCCAACGGTATCCCGGCAATTGAGCGAAAGAAAAAGAGCGAATGAAAAAGAGCGAATATAAAATGAGCGAATAAAAATATGAGCGAAAACATATATATAATACTGTGTACTAACATTGATTAAATATATTAAGTATATTACTTTACTTATATACATTATAACTATGTGAAACTACAGTGAAATATTTTAGGATTCGAAAAGTCACTGTCGTCGTACCTATGTTGAGTTTGTCATTTTAGTCGTCCGCCGGAGTTCTTCGGTTATCGTTAGTATTAATCGAGTATTCGAGTGATGGTTAGTGTAGTTCGTGTTACTTTTAAGTGTATAATTATTCGCTAAGAGCAAATAATATTGTATTAATATGGAATACGTAGTATACGTACACGTGGCTGATGCAAGTTAACTCGGATCCAAAATCGCTTTTTGATCTTGATATTCCTGAACAATTTAGAAAAACCAAAAATGGAGCACAATTTCTGTTGCACGATAGTGGCCCTTCAAATAATCGAATAATTATATTTTCTACACATGATAATTTAGACATAATGGACAATTATAGTGATTGGTTTGCTGATGGCACGTTTAAAACATCGCCTTTAATATTTTCGCAAGTTTATACAATACATGTATTAATTAAGGAAAATATCATTATACCCACTATTTATGCTTTACTGCCAAACAAAACTGAAGAAACGTATATTCATCTGTTAACAACTTTAAAAGAAATTAAACCTAATTTAAATCCAAAATCAATCATGACAGACTTCGAACGTAGTGCTTTCAACGCATTCAAATATTTATTTCCAAATATAAAACAAAATGGTTGCCATTTTCATTTCGCACAATCTATATGGAGGCACATTCAACAAATTCAAGGTTTATCAACAAAGTATAAATTAGATCCTAATTTTGCTTTACATATAAGAATGATATCGGCTCTTGCCTTTGTGCCACCCAACAATGTTACACTCGCGTTTGAAGAATTGTTGGATTCCTCATTTTTTTTTGCGAAAATGAAGAATTTCTTAATCCACTAACTAACTATTTTGAAGACACGTGGGATTGGACGTCGAGGAAGAAAAAATGTTCGGAAATCACCGTGTTTTGTTATAATGTTATGGAACTGCTATGAAATTTCCAAACGCCAGGGGGCCAAAACCAATAATTCTATTGAGGGTTGGCATAGAGGTTTCAGCTCATTGTTAGGTACCATATTTTATTTGTTGATAAATTTAATTAATTGACTTAATATATTTTAATCTTTAGCATCACATCATCCATTCATCTGGAAATTTATTGAATTCCTTCAAAGACAACAGAATTTGGAGGAAATTAAATATGAGCAGTATCAATCTGGAATAAATAAAATAAGGAAAAAAAAGAAGTACAAAGATTCGGCTGAACGGATTCAAAAATTAGTATATGGGTACGACGAAAATGATAAATTAATTTTTTTAAAAGGAATTGCCTATAATTTGACGTATTAGCTTATTAATATTTTTTTAGATACAACAAAAATAATAATTGTTGTCATAATTTTAATTTTTTTTATATTTTCCATTATTTTTTCAATTAAATGATATTCGCTGTATTATATTCAATATTTTGTGTTCGATTTTTTATTTTCGCTATTTTGGAGGTGAATCATTGCCAACAGTGTATTATCAAAGTGTTAGACAATTATTTATTGTATTTGAATATTATAACATATAATGTTACACATTCGGTAATGTAACAAATTGTATTAAAATTTTTAAATCATTGGTATAATATTATGAAGGATTGACAAAAAATAAAGACAAATGTGATCAATGGTTAATTTCTAATAATAAATACTTTTGTAGGAATAATAATAAAATCTGGATCTCTACTTATTTATATAAAAAAAGAGAAAACAATTAATATAAGGTAAGCGTTTTTACTATACTGGTTTTATCCAGGCTTGAGACTGGCAACTCATACATAATAATAATAATAATAAAATTATGTAGTTAATTAGTTGGCGGTTTACACGTCCCTTTTTCAATGTTAATCAGATAGTAAATATTTTATGTAATTTATGTACATATTATTTTTGGTTGGTGTATAGTTTTTGTAGATTGTTCTTACTTTAAAAATATTGTTATATTTTTTGTAGAATGATCACATATACATATTTGCTGTTATTCGGCCACCTTTTTTCAGCAATTGTTGTGTCATTGGTGGAAACCCAATTAGAATGTGCTTGTTTCAGATATGCGATATAATGGCCAGAGCTCGTGTTTTGTCCAATATGTAATATAGCGGCTTGAGGTTTGTAACGCGCTCCAGCAATTTCTAAAGTACTAGACGGTACACCGCTAAGTTTTAAATTGGTTATTTCTAATTAATTATAATTGGTTATAGATCCCTTTCCAATACCATCTCAGTTACAAACCTTTTTACACATTTTATTATTTCCAAAACCTCTCTGCTTTCGTATGGTACAAGTATTGCATTATTAGCAGAAATTATATGATAGTCAAAGCATTCTGTAAAGTTATACCATTCTCCTTGTTCTGAGTTCGTGTGTGTCTGGATTGCTAGACTAATGTTAAGTTCTTGCAATAATTGTTCATTCCTATCCATTTTAGATTACGGTTCCCTATAATATTAAAATGTTGTTATTTGCAGTTTGAATTTTGAAGCTTTTTTTTTTTTTTTTATTTAAAATGTTTAATTAAGTTTTCATATCGATAATTTCGCACGACGAAATCAAAAATACATTTCGTATAATATGACATCCGTTCGTGGGTCGTGTGCATGTGTGATTTTATGTTTTTTCCTGCAAATTAAGCTATGTGGCTCAGTAAGATTTAAGGTCCTTCCTGATTTGTCATAGGTAGGTACCTACTTCTATTTCAAAAATTATCTGTTTAGGTTTTACCGTTTCCAATCGCATATAAAATTGTTTATTAAAATACCTATTTATCAAAACAAGTTAAATTTAATATCGGAAATTCCGTTATTCCTAATCTTTTTAGAATGACCTTATCAGAACTACCTTCCCATACTACTAACACATTAATCTTTTCACCACGCAGTATATAGTTTCGTATATAGGTCGCATTTAAACTATTAACTGGGGCTCTTAGACTCTGGTTCAGTTGTTCCAAACATATGTCTCGCAGTTCCGTTTTCGCCTTAAAAATTCGAGCCAACGCTCTCTGTGCAACTAATACTTCGCGGTCTTTCATCGGTCGTACTTCCCCGTCTTCTGGTAAGTATAATGGTCGTCCTTCTAACTTCCTTATTTTAAAACGGTCCAAACTATTCGAAATAGCTCCTGATATGAGGACCTTACTGGTTTTATGGATATTGTAATGGGATTACGTAATATCATGTATTTGCTCATAAAAACAACCAGGAATGCGACCACACCCAAAAGTGTTTTCGACTAAGAATACCACTTTCAGTCGTGAGGTCCATATCAAGGACGACTGTACACGCGCCGCTCACTTCAAAGGACGCCACCACCATATATATATAGGGGACAGCGAGACAGCCTGAGTAGATGTATCCAGAGACGAGAACAACACACGACTCGCTTAGCCGCCCAGCCATCACACACAACTTACACGGAGATTATCAATTCTTGAACGAGCTACAATTCGCTACAATCAACACAACTGTTCTGCTTATTTTGTCTGGTTTAATATAATACATTTGATTACTAAACTAATTTGACTATTATTATTTATCAAAGTACATCAGCTTTTGGATCCCTGAAGGGCCGCATGTAACAATATTGGTGAATTCAAAATCCGTTATCACGAATTTGTGGGTATTCTCTCTATATACAAATATGAATACAAATCCGACAACTGATCTGGTGTTTTTTTCTATTCACAGGATATGCAAACGTTTGTCCATGTTTTGACGACTGGTGATCTGGTTATTTAATTTATTCACCGGATCTAGTAATCGTTTTTTTGTACATTTCAAATTAAGAATTTTTTTTTGATTTGTTATATCTTGTGAAGCAAGATATAACCGTTTTCTTAATTTATCATTTTCAAGTTCTTGTACACGAAAACTTTCATTGTCACGGGACCGTGACTTGGCTTCTTTGTTTTTTAGCGCACGTTTTGATAGGCGTCCCATTTTGAAAAAAAAAATTACAATACAAATAAAAAAAAAAAAAAAACTACAGTAACTTCTTCTACTACTTTACTACTTCTACAACTTCTAGGAATGAATGCAACCTTCTGTCAACTTCCGTCTACCATAACATACCTACTCTGTCCCACGAGAGATCATGCCACGCACCATCCAAAACTAGTTCCCCACGAGACACCCTGTCATAGGGGAACCAGTTTCGACAGCAGGATGATGTAGAGGGATGCGCAGAACCGGCATGTTCTCTAGTGAGGCAGAGTATATTACAGTAAACAAACTTTTAAGAATTGATAGAATTTTGTAAAATGTAAATTCGATCTCATGTATTTGCAATATTTCTTTTTTTTTTTTATTATTCTACATTAGTCTAAATTTCACCTAATATGTATGTTTCCTCTTAATAGTAATATATAATATGCAAGTAATATTTGAAGGAGGTGAGAAAACACGTTTAAAAATTAAAACTAACTAAATGTAATCAGTGTTTTTGATTTGTTTGTTTTCTAAAAAATAAAGTCATTAGAACACAGAATTATTAACAGAATAAGAAATATACTAACACTATGACATAAATAATTGATAAGAAATAATACAACAAGAAAAATGTCTATATCATAAAATTTATAGTTAATATAATTAGTAGCTTTAAGGAACATTTGGATTTTTGGAATGAAAAAAAAACTACAAAAAAACTGGTTACTTATTTTTTTTTTTTTAATGAGTTGGATTAGATTATTTGACACATTCAACTCAACTAGTTAAGTCACAAACTTATTATGAATTAAAAGTAACTAGTTAAGTTAAAAAAGTTACTTAAAAGTAACATTCTAACTAGTTTTTGTACAGCTTTGGATTTTAGAACAGTGTTTCCCAACATATTTGTCACAATGTTCGTAAACTAATAAAGAAACTTCTAGATTATATTAAAAAAATAAATAAATATAACCTTAAATTGATTAAAACTTTTTGTTCTATTTTATTGGATATATCTATGTATAATAAAAATTTAAATTATGAAGTATAACTAGAATTGTAGGACATAGATCTTACAATGGATATAATTAAATTTTTAGTACCTAACACATGTAGGTATTATTTTATTGTGATTGTAGAACATTTTATAATCATATTATTATATCAATTATTTCATATTTGTATATCATATTGTATGTAGAGTTATACCTAAATATTTTAATTTGAAAATTCAATTTATATTTAACAGAATTAGTTTTAAGAATTAGAACTAGATCTAATTAGAAATAATTTAAGAATTAGTATTCATTTTTCAGTACCTATTGTATGACTTATATTAAAATAAAATGATAAAATTGCTTATAAAAATGTTTAATAATAAAACTATATTATAATGGTTTACTTGATTTGTTTTTATAGTAGCGGGCAGTGCCGTGACAACCACAGGGTCAGCCGGGGCAATGTCCCTGTAGAGGGCCGCTAATCGTTGGCACAAGGGGACCTGCATGTATTTTAAATTTTAAAATAATTGCATTGTAATCTTATGTTTAAATCAAATAAAAATATTTATTTTCATAATTTATTATGCTATCTAATTTGTTGTCGAAGAACGGGGCCTATTTAATATTTATCCATAACAATATCCATATTTATCTATAAATGGTCATTAATATCTTAGTGCTACTGCTCATTAAGTCCTACGAACAAAATAAAAAAAAAATGGTCACTGGTCACTATGTGGTGTGCCTACACATTATATTTTTGGGCTTTTTTAAAAAAAAATCACCATCATTATTCATTTTTGTATAGGTAACCTATACAAAAATATTATATACATAAGCATTAGTACTCAGGGCCCCATACATTGACTTTGTCCGGGGCCCCAAGAATATTAATTGCGGCACTGGTGGAGATCAATATTTTTGACTCACCGTAACAAAAAGGTTAGGGAACACTGATTCAACAGTATACAAAATTAATATAGTTATTTAAACAATATTTAATTTGAAATACAACTTCATTTAATAATTAATTACATAATTAAAAAATAAAGGTAATATTATGTGGGCATGCAGTACGCGAAGGTAATAATATTAAACTGACAGACTAGAGAGTTATCAATTTAAGAGCTTTAGGATTTTTTTTGTTTTCTTCATTTAATTATTAAAAATTATTGGTAAATGCTATAAAAATAATAAAAACGCTACGACAAACATAAAGTTGTTCCCTAGTGGAATTTTGGTAATTCTACTATAAATACCAAGGGAGTGGTTCTAAATCGCGCAAAACAGATTTTTGCCATTTGTACATTAGTAAGACGGAGACAACGCATACGGGTATCACGTCCTCCTAAGAGGACGCTACACGGCCATCTGTTATCTCCGTCTTACAAGCGCGTAACATAGCAAATTTAAGCACACCAGATCACGTTTAACTCCCTTAGTTTAAAAGTTAGAGTGAATCGACCTATTATGAAACTTGATGTTAAGAACATTATCTGTGTTTGTATGTGGGTTTTTTTACGATAGTTCAATTTTTTAGCAGGTTTACCTAAGTAAAACTTGTAAAAAACGACTCCTAATAATAATCATAATAACAATTATGAATATATTCATTACCGTCAAAATATTATTAGGAAACGTAATATTTTATTTCGGGGATTTAAGTTTTTCAGAATTATAGATACATAATATATATAACAAAATATTATTATTAATGTTTGAAAATTATAAAATAAATAAAAAAAAAGTAAGTAAAAATAGTTAAATATGGTATTCAATAAGTATTCCGTATATATTTTAAACTTTGATGATAGATTAATTTGTACACATTAATTTGATTTTTGGGTAATATCGTCACAAGCGTTAAATACCTAGATTATAAATTTAAGCTGTTACTCACCAGGGACTTAGAGACACGTTGAATTTGTTGTATAAAAATAAGTGTAACACTAAAGAAACACGATGTTTTTGGTAACCGATAGTCGATAGGTCTACCAAACTGGATGTCAACCTTTCACGTCGACAACTAGACACAATGTGCAACGTAAATTGAAAAAAAAATATATGTACTTGACGAGTTAGTGCAGATAACTAACCTGTAAATAGGCAGGTATATAAAAAAAAACACAGTATTTTGATATTTTATACTACTTCGTCTTGAGTATCGGTAATTACTCAACATAACGATTGAAATTTCAAAAGTCCAAAAAGTTATTAATCAAGTCTGTATCTACGATTTTGACACATCAAACAGAATAGGTATAAAAAGGTTAATATTCTGTCGAGTAAACTGTAAAAGCAATAAATTATGACAATGATAAAATAAAAAAAAAATACATTAATCGTTCCACTCAGAATCTAATAACGAGTATAGGTACTTGTGATATAGATTACATGAGGGACAAACCCCTAATTGATTTTAGTACACACGTTAAATTATGAAAATAGTTCATTTTTTCAAGTGGTGGTTGGTTAGGTAGAGTTACAGTAGTTTTTCGTTGATTTTATATTCTGCTTTCAACGAAGAAAGAACTGAAAAGTGAAATTTAAAGAACTCGTCTGAACTGCACAAATAAAAGTAAGTAAAATATACGTACCTAGCTTTATTTTAAATTACATTTTTTATTAATGTTAAGTGGATACGTCTAAATATTAACTCACGAATACATTTAAGTCAATTCGAATTTCCTTACTAATATATTTTACGATTTTTACTTAACTTTTTATTGGTGTTCCGTACAAAAGTTATTTTATAATCGAGTTTACATTATAGTAATATTTTTGGAATTAGTACAGTATTAAAATAATAAAATGAATACTATTAATATATAACTTAATTTCTTTAAACGCAAGTATTCTAAGACACATACTTGACTTATTATAAATGTTTCAGGATACACATCATAGTGACGTTTTGTGAAAAATGTCAGTATTAAAATACAGGAATCCAAATTCCAATAATATATTTGTAAATCATTTAAATTTCTAAATAAAATTGGTAAATACTAGTGTTTTTAATAATTTCTATAACTTAATTTGCTTGAAACATTTAGCAAAAATTAAAATATTTATTGTGCATTAAAAAGTAGGTAATTTAAAACCTGAATTCGTTTTTCCTAATTTTTGCTCTAAATTATTGAGTTGTTAAGTGGAAATATGTGTGGTTATATAGTCATTGATATTATGAGTTGCGCGTCACCTCTTGCACAAAAAATTTAATTAACTTTAAACTTAGGTATCATGATACTGTACTATGTTTTTTTTTCAAATTCTATTTATTTGTTAAAACCATGTGGTATAATATGTTAACTGGTTTTATAAGTGTTGCACACAACTATAGAAGCTTGGTTATTTTGTGGATGAGTTGAGTTTACATCATATTGATATTTTGTGAAACAATTTAGTAGGTAGGTACTTTAATATTTCAACCGCATGCGTTGTCTCCGTCTTACGCACGTACAGCATAGCACAAAACTGTTTTTCGAGGGATAGAACCACTCCTTCGGTATTTATAGTAGAATAACCAAAATTCCACAACGCATAGGGAACAACTTTATCTGTATCGCAGCGTTTTTATTATTTGGATAACATAAATAAAATTTAAGTTATCAGTTTAAGAACTTTAGGATTTTTTTTTGTTTTTTTCATTTAATTATTAAAAATTATTGGTAAATGCTATAAAAAAAATAAAAACGCTTCGACACAGATAAAGTTGTTCCCTATGCTCTGTGGAATTTTGGTAATTCTACTATAAATAATAAGGGAGTGGTTCTATCCCGCACAAAACAGTTTTTTGCCATATTGTACATTTGTAAGACGGAGACAACGCATACGGGTATCACGTCCTCTTAAGGGGATTCGACACCGTGATTTTCTGTTTTTGTCTAACACACGCGTGACATAGTATTTTAGACATGTATTTTGCCAAACATTCCAATTGATCTAGTAAAGCGATAAGAATTCTGAAAACAGATTTGAATTTGTCGTCAAGTCTACTTGAAATCGATTTTCCCACATTTTGGATTTTTTGATTTTTTCTTCTTCAAAAATTGAAATAACAGAATTTTTAAATACTCTTTTTGAATATGACATTTTAAAAAATTTGGGAGGTAATATCAAAAATGTAGGAAAATCGATTTCAAGTAGACTTGACGACAAATTCAAATCTGTTTTCAGAATTCTTATCGCTTCATTAGATCAATTGGTATGTTTGGCAAAAAACACGTTTAAAATACTATGTCGCACGTGTGTTAGACAAAAACAGAAAATCACGGTATCGAATCCCCTTAACAATTCGTACAAACTTAAACATTTATTAAGGACATTTTATCCCAATTATAGTTTGATTTTCTAATTTGTAGTTGTGCTTTATAATGTAATAAAAATAAAAATAATCATAAATTATTATTCAACAAAATATTAAAAGGATGTCAGCAACAAAAACAATTATTCAATATTATTTTAAATGTATAATACACGCAAAATCAGTTTTTCTCATGTTTTTAGTAATCACGTACTACAATAAATATAGAGAATAATATTTTTGAGGTTATGACACATCGATTAGTCGAAATATTGTTTAAAAATAATTTAATCAGTTTTGGTTTTTTATTTTCATTAAATATTGTCGATAAAAACCATGAAAATGCGGTACAAGATTCCTCATAAGTTAATCATATCCCGATTCAAAAACATAGAAAACCATTCCAATTTTTTTTTTAAAGTGTTGAAAGTAAAATTTTAAAAAATTTCGTCTAAACGAGAACATTTTCAAATTATTTTGTAGTAATTAGAAATTCATAAAAATTGCTGTGAGTTATTACATTACATCCATTAATTATATCCTATACAGATGTCTACTGTGGTTAATAACTATTTTTATGGCAAGGATGCCATTCCACCACCTCCAATAGGCCAAGCACCACCTCCAGAGGCCCAACCACCAACAAAGTTGACCCTACGCTACGATAAACCAGGGCAATACAGTTCTCCTACACATTGATAAGAAACTACTTGGAGGAAATTAAAATTTTAGGTAATACCAACTGTCTTTTTTTCAGAAAATTGATATCAAGGAATTTAGTATTATACAACCACACCCACTGTACTTATAATACAAGTTACAACAATTAAAGTATCAAATAATAATTTATATTTAGAAGATTTAACTTTTTATTTTTTTATAGTGATTATTTATCTCATTATGGACCACAATTACGAGGCTAATGAAGTTGAAGCAGACGGTAATAAATATTTTTTTAGTTAAGATAGTAAAACTAAATTATTATTATTTATTTATTTTGAAAAATACAGTCTGTAAATAATGTTTACATTAGACAATATAAGACAAAAAATAATTTTTATACTCCTTCTTAAGCTAAAGGTAACTTTTTTACATAATTGTGTGCCCTTATTAATTGGAATTTGTTGTCCAGCTGTCGGATTTGAAGGTATTTAAATTAGTGTTAATTTATTAAAGAAGCAACATTTTAATTTCAGGGAAAGATTGGCTAAAAGGTTTTTTAAAAAGGCATACTGAGCTGTCAGTACGTGCTCCAGAGCCTACTTCAGCTGCTAGAGCAATGGGATTCAACCAGCCAGTTGTTATGAATTTTTATGAGTTATTAAGACAATGCTATGATAAGTATAAATTTTCTGCTGATAGAGTTTTTAATGTTGATGAAAGTGGCCTATCAAATGTTGCAAAAAGTCGTGCCAAGATTATTGCACATAAAGGCAGGAAACAGGTTGGAAAATTATCATCAGCAGAACGAGGGCAAAATGTGACGGTTACTATTTGTATGTCAGCTTCAGGTAGTTTTATTCCTCCTCTTATGATATTTCCAAGAGTGAGAATGAACCCGGATTTTATTGATGGAGCGCCACCAGCTACAATTGTTGTGTGCCATCCATCTGGTTAGATGCAGTCACATATTTTTGTTCAATGGCTAGAACATTTTATAAAACATACTAATCCTACAGAATCAAATCCAGCGCTTCTACTATTAGATGGACATGCGACCCATGTTAAGAACTTAGATGTAATTGATTTGGCACGCAAGAAAAATGTAATTATACTTTGTTTCCCCCCACATACAACTCACCGTTTGCAACCACTTGCTGTATCATTTATGGGGCCATTAAGTACTTTTTACAGTCAACAATTAGATTATTGGTTAGTAAACCATCCTGGACGTGTCGTTGGACTTCACCAAATATCAAAAATATTTGGAGAAGCATACATCAAAGCAGCTAATATCAGAAATGCATGTTCTGGTTTTAAAAAGACTGGTATTTTTCCATTTGACCCAGAAGTATTTACAGAAGTAGATTTTGCTGCCGCTGAAACAACAAATCTAATTCAAGAACCAACAGAACCTGTAGTAGCTGCACATCAAATAGAAATAGTAATACCCAATAATAATATTGCTCCTGAAGCTAGTACATCATGTAATATTCCATTGAATAACTCTGTTGATATTGATGTGTCAAAAGATAATATTAACATTAAAAATATCAATACTTTTAATGTATCTCCAGAAATGATTCAACCGATTCCAAAAATTCCTGCTAGAAGTTCTAGGTTGAGTAACAGTAGAAGAGGAAAAACAGCAATAATAACAGCTAGCCCTTATAAAAATGATCTAGAAGATTCACAAAATATTAAACCAGTCAAAAGAAGTTTTTTTGAAAATAAAACTGTTTGCCATACTAAAAAATCTTTGAAAAAACGTGCCACATGTTCTAAAGATGATGTTGATGTGCAGTGCCTATATTGTAGTGAGTTATACACAACAAATACAAATGGGGAAAAATGGATCAAATGCACAACTTGTAAAAATTGGTTGCATGAGGTATGTGGTAATGTTGAAAATTGGAAAACATATATCTGTGATAACTGTAAAAAATAAGTTACCAATAGTTTATGATATTATATTCTCAATTTGATTTTGTTCTAAAAACAGAACAGTTAATGTATTGTGAAACTATTAAATGTGTTCAAGATGTAAGAACCTAGGTATATTATCTTAAAAAGAAATTAAAATGTTCCTTTAATATAATTATTATTACTAACTTATATTTAAAAATGTATTGTTAAACTATTAGATATTTAGATGTGTTCAAGAAGTAAGAAATTATATCATCTCATAAAGAAATTAAAATGTTCCTTTAATATAATTATTATTACTAACTTATATTTAAAAATGTATTTTGTTCAACTATTAGAGGTGGGTTACCCTGGCACCCCAATGTTTGAATTTTTTATTTTTTTTTTTACCATTAATTGTACTACAATTTGTACCAATTTGTACCGTACATTTCAGAATTTGTACCAAAGAATTTCCCCCGGAAAATTCGATTTTCCGCTGGGGTGCCAGGGTAACGTTACACCAGCACCCCCGTTGCTAAAAAATGGACTTTTAACAATTTTTTTTATACCATTAATTGTACTATAATTTGTACCGATTTGTATCATAAGTTTCAGAATTTGTACCAAAGTATTTTCCCCGGAAAAATTGATTTTCCGCCAGAGCGCCAGACGTTACACCAGCCTCCCCATGTTCAATGGATAATTGAACCATTGATTACACATGTGAAACAAAATGTAATATGTAACACACGGTCAACTGAACTAGAAAATAAATCAGAAACCCCGTGCATTAGTGAAGAAGATAATGATGATGAATTAAATTCATCATATGAAAATTTTTTAAATAACCGTCCTAAATCAACACGTTATGATAAATCTTATGGTATGTATTATGATAAAGATAGTGATTCATATAAAATAGGAAAACATTCTGTTACTTTTAGTCACAGCAAATTACTGTTGCTTAATAAATACTACCAATTTACACCAGGACTATGGTCTTTATTATGTGAGAAGGAACCAAAAAATACAACTATAGCAGATATAGAATCTTATTACAATATTTTGAAAACTAGTGGAGTCCATTTAAAAGCAGATGGAAAACCTAGAACCTCGCGGTACCTTAAATGGGTGACTGTTGTAAAACCACTGTATGATCGAATACAAATGGAGGAAAAACAGTTTAACGAAGAAATAAGTAAAATTAATGAGAATACAACTCCTCGAACTAATTTAAAATCATTTAACAATCATTTATCTAGTTCTAGCGCTAAACGCAGAAAAATAACACAAGAATTTGAACCATTTGATTTTAATCCAGAAGCAAACAGTTCCATCTCTACAAATCCAGTAGTTGTGTAACGTGGTCGGGGATGGCCCGTTAAATATAAGATATTCAGGGAAGAAATTAATTCTTTTGAATATATTTTTACCGTAGCTCGGGAGCACGAATGGTATTAGGATCTTAATATTACAAATAAATAACGATTGATCTAAATTATTATTAATATAAACAAATTATTTATTATAACTTACAATTTACGAACAAAGTTACCAAAAATGTAGGATTGTACGGAGTTCAGGTGCACGTGATGGACTCGCGGAGAACTGGTATTCTCTTACATAGGGATATTGGCCGGAGCCTTACAATCATAAAATATATATGTGTCACCTAAATCGGAGGGGCTTAATATATTATTACAGTCACCGCATAATATGCCTAATGTGCATATTATGATGCTTATAAAATAAATGTAATGATGTAACATACGTTACATTACCCCCCTCCCTTTTTTTTGAACATTTTAAATATACCTACTATATTTAAAAAAAAAATAACAATATAAATCATGTTTCATTTAAACAATACATCCCTTTTTTTTTTTTAATTTAAAAAAATATATCATTAAGGTTAGTTTTATTTAAATTGATTGAAATTGTACCTGATTTTGAAGATTTACCACTGTTTTGGTGTGAATACGTGATAAATGATATTTACATTATATATGTATACATACACTGCATGTCTTCATTAATTATACATATAATATGCATATGATATATTATATCTTTATGTTTAGTTATTAAATTTAGTTCTGTTTTGCTCGGGAATATCAATGTGATAACACTCATGATAATAATATATTAATTGTATTTTTGAGTGGCGAGAGCACTATATCAATTTTTTCTTGATTCATCAGTTTTTGACGATCATCGTATATGTATATAATGAAAATCAAATCTACGTAAAATGTTGCAAGTGTCAATGATGTGGTAGTGTCATTGTAAAATTTCAACCAGTTTTTTACTACCATTTTTATTTTTTATAATAATATTTTTTATGTGAACCCTTTTTCTACATTTGTATATATACGCCTAACGCATGTTTTCACGCGTTCTTTTTTTTTTTTTTTACATAATATACCTATGCCTTATAATAAATTTACAATATAAATCCACATCATACTCATGTACAATATTAGTGTTCTGAAATTATTCTTCACCCGTTCCGTCGTTTGGATGTCATCGGTCCCTCAAGGCCTCAACCAGTACTGAAACAGGGAGGTCTGTTATCGTGGTCTGTCCTTGGATAGGTGCACGCTGTACCGCTATAACCTCGGCGTCGTAAACGGTCTTGATTGAACCACCATAATATGTCTTGGATTCGAGGTTTATGGTTCGGTTATAGTCGCCTAAATTTGTAAACTTTCTCACTCTATTTTTTGCTTACACTTTTTTTTGTGGTTGTTATGGTCAAATAAAAAAAAATTAATTTATCCTTATGCTAAAAAATAAAAGTACATAAATGATTATTTAATAATATTACTCTTATTGCACTATTCTATCTCGACACCTTGTTCTTAAATTTATTAATTAATTACTATGCATGGGGGTAAAGTGATATCGTAAGATTTTTTACGCACTGAAAATCGTTAGAATGCTATAAGGGTAACAAAATTTGATAATATGCTAGAAAAAATTAAAACTGTTGTAATTGTGCTTACTGTACATAACTTAATTGAGGTATGATATTCTTATTGTATTTCCTTTTAGTATCTATTTTATTTTGATAATTTTTGATTTACTGAGCTACTATTTTATTAGTAGGTACTTTGTAGACTATTTCGAATATTGCAATTCAACATTTGCTTGTGTTTACCTTATTAATTTTACGTGTCTCATTTAAAAAATGTATATACATGGTATTCTTAATATATATTTACTAAGTAAAAATTCAAATTCACATTTTTATGTGTTGTAATAAAAACATTTTGTATGTTTTCATTAGGCAAGCATATACGATAATAATTTTATTTCTTTTCCCACATTTATTATACGTTATATTTATTATATACAATATACATTTTATACTATAATTACAATTATTCTAATGTATTATTTAGCGTTCTTTATATTTTTTTAACTGACTAACATGTTTGTATTCGTTTACTAACTGTCCATTTTTAATTATTTCTACTACATAAGTTACATCCGATACTTGCTTCATTATTTTAAACGGGCCGTTGTACCTGTAAGCAAATTTAGATTTTCTATTTTCGTCTTTAATCAGTACTTTTTCGTTTAATTTAAATTTTACCTGTACCTTATTTGAGTCATAATGTTTTTTATTTTTTAAATATCTGTCCGTTAATAATTTTGGGAGTTCGTCTCGAATATTTTTTAATTTTTCTAATTCCAGTAAAATTTCGGGGGATGTTTCTGTACTTATAAAGTTGTGATCAAATATGGATTTTGGATTATATCCGTGTAATAGGTAAAACGGTGTGTTTTTCGTTGCATCATTAATTGCTGTGTACTGTTTACTGCTTATACGCAAATAGTACATATTTAAGTATAGACTCCATTTTTTTGGTTGTTCCTGTACAAAGTGGCTAATCATATCTATCAAAGTCCCGTTGAACTTTTCTGTGTGGCCTTGGCTCTGGGGACGGTATGCATTTGAATATGTGTTATTTATATTTAGCGCTTTTAGTAAGTCTTTCACCAATTTATTTGCAAAATGTAAGCCTCGGTCAGAGTGTATTTCGCCTATTGCTCCGAATTGTAAAATTATATCTATTAAATATGCTACTGTCGACCTTGCGTCAGCGTTTTTGTATGATTTTGCTATAGCGTATTTTGTAGTTGCGCAAGTTCCTACCAAAATATATGAGTTGCCATTGCTTGGGGGATTAATTGGCAAAATATAATCTATTGTAAATCGTTGAAATGGTATACCAATAATTTTTGGTGATGTTAGCATTTGACCATAGGTCGCTTTTTTATCCGATTTCCTTTTTTGACAACTAATGCATGATGTTACATATTTGCGTACGTTTTTATATATAGTGGGCCAAAAATATCGTTGAATAATTTTATTGTATGTCTTGTCAATGCCTTAGTATCCTGATAAGGGGTGATCATGGAAATCGTTTAAAATTTCATTTTTACGGTTGTCTGGTAATGCTATTAAATGTATAGATTGCTCCTTAGCTAAATGTTTATACATGAGTATTTGGTTTTCATTTATAAAATAATTTTTTGATTTTCTTATCCATATATGGGCTGAAAGTTCTGGGTTCTGTATTGCTTTAATAATATTTGCATATGTATCATCACGTAATTGTTCCACGTGTATATTAATAGTTTTTACTGTGCAAATTGTCAGTTCATTATCCTTTTGTATTTCTTGTTCTATAGTGGGTGGTTCAAACACTGGATTTCGGGACATAGCATCGCATACTTGATTTAAGAGTCCTTTTCTATATTTAATTGTTATGTCGTAGTCTATAATTTTACTTTTTAGTCTCTGAATTCTTGTTGATAGTGATTTAATATTGTCTAAATATTTTAACGGAGCATGGTCTGTCCATATCTCTATGTGTGTGCCGTATACATATGGTCTAAAGGTTTCGAGCGCATATACTATTGCTAATAATTCTAGTTCAATTGCACTATATTTCTCCTCAGTAGCAGTAACACGTCGAGAAATGTATGATACGGGATGTAATAATTCGTCACCTTCGTCCTTTTGTAATA